ACGATTGCGATACAAAGATAATTATTTTAAAAATATGACGAATAAAAGCAATAACAATACGCAAGGAAGTAGAGTAGTGATCAACGCGAGGGTTCCGATAGGCGCCCGTGAAAAATTTTACCAGGCACCTCTCTCATATTCTTCACCATCGGCCAATAGTCCATTTTCTTATGTTGACGAGTTATACTTTAGTCGTTTCTTTCCTAAGTGAACCCTAATCAATATTAACGTTTTTTTCAAGAAGCTCGATAACCTTTTTTTTTATTTCAATTATAATATCAAAAGCAATAATTTTTAATAAATATATTAAGAAATTATTTATTTGTAAAAAACAAATTTTCGAAAATTAATGATTATTCCAGTAGTAATTATAAAACATTGAAACTTGAATGGTGTCCCTTTTGGAAATGAACTTCAAGGCCCGTCGAAAAAAAAAAAAGGTCAATTGTTTTTTTGTTTTTTTTGAGAGAGAGAAAAAATGGTGTATGATTTGGAGAGAGGAAGGAAGGTATAAAAATTGTACTGTAAAAAAGAATTATTTTTTTTAAATAATGGTTTAATAAAATAAATTTGTTTTTAATTTTCATTTGATTAAAACTGTTATAAAAGTTTTTGATGATTTTTTTAAAGTACCTAAGAAATGCGTTTCATTACATTCCTCGAAAAAAAAAAAACAATAATAAAATTTAAAAAATAAAATAAAAGGCGGTTCCGGCAATGAACTTATTTTATTTCCGCACCATTTCATTTAATATCACGGTTGTAAAAAAATAATTGCACCTTCGGATTCATTGGATATTTTTACGCGGGGATCAATACTTGACTCAATTTCCATAAAAATTTATTCGAGTTCACTTTGGAAATAAACAACTCACTTATACTTTAAAAATGCTCTTGCAGTTTCACCAATGGCCGATAAACTTCGAAACTCTAGCCAGTTAGTAATTTTTCAAACAGAAGCATGTGAAGTTGTGAAATAATAAACAGAAATAATAATATCTACTCGACAACTTGTCGTGTATGAAGGTATGAAAATAGATAAAAAAGAACGAATAAAAAAGTATAATGCGGATAGAAATAGCACTGTTTTCATGAATATAGGATATTCCATTATCTTTCTATCCCTTATTCAGGGTGGCCCCACCCACGTGTTAGCCCTGCAAGTATGATATAACCCTTGAACATTTCATCATCTCTAGCATACGGTAGTTTATTATTATCAGACCGTGGTAAATTAAGATTTGATAAAATCATGATTTCATTAAATGTCTTTTATAATAGTTCCATGCTATCTTGTTGCAATTTAGAATAAGAATTCCAAAAGTACAGTTCGGATTTTCTATTTAATTCAGAGAGAATCCTCACAAATGCTACCTTATGAGGGTGCTGAAGCCCACCCATTAGCACTGCAAGACATATTATAATAAAATTAAATTAAACATGATTTTGCCAATGACTCTCAAAATCTTTACTCTAGATGGGTTGAGAAAAAAATCTATATTTGGCAGATAGCTACAGGAAGAGTACAATAGTAAAACGAACTGGACAAATCAACATAGTCATGTTACAGTATAATTTTTTGGAAGAAAAACAAAGTCGATATTTGTTTTTCGTAGCTTAAAAAAAAACATTAAATACCAAACTTTGCTTGGCTGAACCCTTCGAAATTCTTTATCGGCAAACAAAACCTTCAAAGCAGATCCACCGACCAACACGAAAATTATCAGGTATTTGGAGCCCTAGATGCTATACATAATGATACAAACCCGACCTACATAAACAAATTAGAACCAAATATATAAGAAGTTTTCTTTATTTTTAGCTTAAAAATTATTTAAATATAAACGTTATTGGTAAGGGTTCGAAGAGCAGTAATTTTTTTTTCAGTAGACTTTTTAACGGTGAGTTTGGAAATAATCCTAAGAAATTATGGACAATTTAGTTAGCGGCCGAAAAAAAATCTTCCAAGAAAATAATCATGTACAAAAACTATCATTTTATCATTTTTTTTATTACTATGAAAATTCGTATTCATGAGTTATTAAGTATACTAAAAACGAACTTTAATTGCTTTTTCATAACAATTTATTTTTGTTGTGGTCTTGTTCTACTTTACTGTAAGCATAATTTAGTTTTTGCAATTTATGATATATTGTGTTACACATTCAATACCATAGGCAATATGTTTTTGTGCACAAAAAAATTATATTTATTATTATTTCTTATTTATTTCATAATTATTAAAAAAATTATAATTTATCCTGCACAAAAAAGAAAAAAATTGATTGGTATATAATAATAACAACCTAAAACTAAACGAGAAGTAAAGGCAAAAAAAAATACATACATTTTTTTAAAAATTATATACAACAATTTTTTTCTCAAATCCTAAGGCCGATTGGAACGAACGCCGGTACACGTGTCTAATATTATTCGATGTAATATCACAAACAAAAATTTTAGTTGAAATCGGTGACCCACTGACTGTCAATTCTCCTTGTCAGTGTTTATATTAGATAATTAATAAATTAAAAAATTGAAGATTAAATAACAGTAGATCCGAGACCGAATTCGTTTTTATAATTAATGGTTTATCAATGAGAGGGATAAATACATTGAGTCATAATATCAATAAAATTTCTATATATACATACAAAAATAAAATTCAGCCGCATTAATTTAAAAAGAAAAAAAAAAAAAAAAATATATATATATATATATATATATATATATATATATATATATATATATATATAACCGAGGAGACTATGAGTAATGGCATAGATGGGTTATGCTATCAGGCGGCGAAAAATAACATGTTACATCTAAACGTGTAAGTGCCGGGCAGCTTGACGTGTTTTATGTCCAGCAGTTGATAAGGATGATTTGTGACACTTCCAAACTTCCCAGGCTCCCGACGGACAAATAAATATGTTTAAACACACACGGCATTTATCTAAAAAATAAGGGACAACACTAGAGAATATATCTTTGGAAAATACTAGACTGAATCAATTACTTAAGAAGAAAAACTTCTGCCAAGTAGGGTCAGTGTAGCTTCCTCACAATTTCTACTGGTTGCATAATAAATAAACTATACTTCAATAATTTGTCTTTTGAGAATAAAATATAAAAAAAGCCTTTTACACACGTTTCATGTTTCAAATATTTCTATTTCTTTCATACAATATTGTACATTAATATTAACAAAAAATGAAAAGAAAAAGGATAGTTGACATATTTAGAATAACATGAGTAGGTAAGTTGAGCTTCCTAGTCTATGATCGACAAGTGTAAACATTTTTATAGATTTTTTAATCAATTCCGATCGTACCATATCAAGTTTACGACCTCAGTTAAAGGTTCTAATACAGAGTATAAAAGGATAAAGTAACCGAATGTAAAAAGTTTGCTCGTAGAAAAATAATTTAGTGAGATGTTATGAAATTCTTTATGAAAAAAAAAAGTTTCATGTTGTGCCATTAAAATTTTTAAGGGAAGCACATTTTGAACTTTTACGGGAGCACGTTTCGACGGGATTATGAATTTTCGGAGTGAAAACTTTCGAACCAAGGAACAAGAGGAAAAACAACCTGATAAACAGAAAATATAAATAGCAATAAAATAACTACAATTGGGTATTTAATAGTTGACCGTTGCATTATAAAGGAAGGAGATGGTCCGGGGTTGCGGTCATAAATAGGCTAAATAGTGGTAAAACTATTTTATTGAAAGCCGACGTTTCAAAAACGAAAAGGATAGAGAACTGTGGCAGTTACATAATATTTAGACAAAATTTATAAACAATGTGAATAAGCTTATTAAAATTATAAACAGTAAGTATAATAAAATATGAACAAAGTAAGCTGAAGAAGACCTGCAAAGTCGGGTCGAAACGTCGGCTTTCAATAAAATAGTTATAGCCTATAGCCTATATAGCCTATTTATGACCGCAACCCCCGACCAACTCCTTCCTAAAATAATTACAAGTTCGCGTCCCAGGACCAGGGGGCTTTTAACTTTGACATTAATCCCCGCTCTCCTCTGGCTCGAGAAAATCACGTAGAACCGAAAAGGCGAAGGAAATTGTAATCGTATACTATCTACGAATTTTCGAACTATACTTTCGATTGCACTGTATTGAAGAAGATTAAAGCAATAAAATTGATGGAAGGAGTGCGGAGTTCCTGCGCCATTGGCTTTGTGGGGGATGGACTAACAAACAGTCACTTCGTTATATTTTTTAAATAAAATATTATAATGCTACATCAGTGAGTTGTATGCTATATTATAAATATACGATTTTAAAACAATGATAAATAGCTTTTATTGGTTTCTTGTTCAAATTCTACATTCTGTTTTACAGCCTTCTACTAAATTTTCGAGCCAATGTCTGAGGAACCTATATGCCCGTCCTATTACGGAATAGTTCGAATCCTGCCTGAGAGGGTTAAATTCATTTTGTGGCCACGAAATAAATATCGTCTTCCACATTTTGGTCACAAGAGGTTGGTAACCTATAGAGTACAGAAGGACGTTAAAGATGAATTATTAAACAACTCTTTCAAGGAATGTTGCTATTTGGCGATTGTTCTTAAAAAGTCAGAGGTCATTTGCCACCATTTTAGTTGTTTGGAATATAAACATTTACGGATATAATAAACTATTTAGAAAACAACTCTTAGTTAATTTAAATTAAGGGAATATTTTGAAAAAAGAAATAAAGAAATTAATAAACAGACTCTAATAGTGAAATAAAAAGGTCTATTACCTGGACTAAATTGAAATATGGATTCTCACAACAGAAATTAACACATCTCTGAGAAATAATTAGAAAAATAAATCGCCCGACATATAGCTATTAGACAAGACCAACAAAAGCCTCGCCGAATTAACCTTAGTTAGTAATCTAATTGAGAATACCGTACATGAATATTTATAAGGAGGTGAGGTAAATACAGGTACTAATAGGCAATCAGGTAATGTTAATGGATAATCACCTGAAGGAGAGGAAGGTAGCTTGCAGAGAAGATACTCGAACTTGCTGGCTACAGATTCGAGTCTAGAGACAAGACTCTCAAGTTCGGAGCAGTGGCCACCAAGAAAATTTTCCTCTGACGGTCCTGAAACACAAGAAAAATGCTATAGACAAGAATATTACAAATATATGTTTTTTCATTGGTATTAGTAAAAAGAGTGGGAAAAAATAAATATATGAATTTTAATTTTTTTTTACCACTAATCTTATTCAGCTTTGCTCTAAATTAATTGGTTTCAAACTATGGGTATTCCGCACAACAATTGCAACTTATAGAGATTAATTAAAAATAATTGTGGAGAAAATATTATTGACCTTACACCGCATACTAGGGGAAATTGGTATAAATTGTGGCCATAAATTAGAAAAAAAACGATAACGAGGATCTTATAACATGACAACGAATAAGAAATAGTAAGATAAACACATTTCTGTTCAAAATAAGATATAAAACTGGTGACTTTATTGTGAAGGGAGCTCATAATTGCAAGACCTGCACCAGGGGTGCCCAGAAGGGTGTTTTATAGGGCCATAAAACTTTTTGAGGGGACACATTTTGATAGGTTTTTGAATTTTTAGGGGGGGGGAGCACATTTCAACAGTTATAAAGTTTCGAAGTAAAAATTTTCAAACCAGGGAAGAAGGAGGAAACCATGGATCAGATCAGAGCAAGTGTAATTATATATGGTCTACGATTTTTCTGATTCTATTTTTGCTTTCACCGTTTTAGAAGAGGAAAAAAGCGCGACCTTGGGGAGGGAAGATGGGCACCCCTGACCTGCACAAAGAGTATAACGATACTGGTCAAAATCAGCTTTTGCTACAATCGTAGCAATTACCCGTTTTCCACATAGGGTTTTCCATAAAGGAACATGGACTACTCTAGATGGCCGACATGTAAATCAAATCGATCATCTTTTAGTCAGCGGGAGATACATGAGCAGTATATCGGATAGATGGTATTTAGAAGTGTTGATGTGAATTCTGGTCACATCTTAAGAATTGCACACAAAAAGGGACGTATAATCCAACCGAGACATATATCAGTACATCTTTAAAGAAGATGAAATCTAACATCAATATTCTAAGCAGCAGACAGTTTCGCATCGGCCTCATGGCAGTGGAGATACTTCAACCATCGCACAAGTAACAAAGTTTTTAGGTCTAGCAAATAAAGACTCAATGTCTACATGGTTCGATAAAGACAGCGTACCCCTCATAAAAGCGAAGAAAGAAATTTAAAAAGCCGTGATCAACACGCGAACACGCAGAACTGTTGAGCAGTACCGAAGAAAACGTCGGAAAGAGAAATGTAATCATCGAAGAAAAAAATAGACAAAAATGAAGTCATGATTGAAAAAAACAAAACAATGTAGTGATGATCGCATTATATAAAATACTTAGAAATTTAAATATATTCTACCTTACTTACTCAAATCCATATGGACATATAATTTACTGTCCTGCGTAAAAAACGCACACACAAAAACTACAATCATTCCAAACCTTTTAAGAATAACAACAGCAGGTTCCTGGTACGCAAACAACAAAACTTTACATACCGACTTACGACAACCAACTATCGAACAACACATACGTATTCTCTACTCCCGATTTTATCTCAAACTACAGGGACATCCCAACGGACTTATCAACGATATGACCACAGCTAACATGCTCATCAGGACATGTCTGAAGAGGAGAAGGATGAGAGATCTCCTTTTCTGAATTAAGAAAGTAAACTAAAACCAGGAAGTGGTACCCAGCACTATTCTTCCTCATGCCTAAAATGCCAATGTTCTTAACAATAACATCTCATGTCATTATTGTCAAGATTATGACAAGTGGGAATGAAGATATGAAGAGAAAAAAAAAAAGAGTATATATTTATATATCCCATTTCACGGAAGTTGTCATTCATATCTCATTATTTTATTTTATTTTGTATTATTTACATCGACACATATACATTCCATACTGCCTTTCATCTTCTCATTTTGTTATTGTATTGTTTTACTTGATCTTAAGGGTTGTTGTTTTAATTTTCATCGTCATCAAGGTCTTTTAGACATCTGCTTAAGGTGAAATAAATGACGGCACACAATTAAGTAATGCTTCTTTGTGTTACCTCACCTATGAGCATACAGTAATTAGGTGATTCCATTTGGATGCCTTTAGGTTCGGCGTCATTCCAGATAAATGTGTAAAATAAAAACTACATCATCAAAACACGATCTGCAAGAGTATACAACAGTTTCAACTGATTCGAAAATAAAAGCTTACTTCCACTAAACTGGTAAAAATACAATCCTGATCCAACTGCTATTATTTTTTGGTTGATGAAATTCGGACCCGAAACATGTAAAGAATCATTCCTCAAACAAAAGTTTTACTAAACGAATTCTCGAGGTTCAAATATTTGATTATCAAGAATAATTATCACGATTTCAATGCAGTAATAGGAACAGGATAATTGTGAAAATAAATGCTTGGAAACACTGAAGACAAAGCATAGTGACAAAAATAAAACCACCTAATGCAAGGTAGTTAAGAATAAGGTCAAACTTGTGTAGTTCAAAAAAATCCATGTCTTAACTTTTTTTTAAACTCACTCCTTGTATATTATATATTTATTATTTGATGTTTCGGGATATTATCAAAACTTTGTTAATATTACAGTTTGATAATTCATAGTTATTTTTATTGCACGCCTTTCTGTTAATGTTCACTTCTAAAATAAAAAAATATTGTGGAATTTCATTATTTACATTATTGACAACAACGGAAAGATATACAAAACAGTTATAATGAAATATTATACTGTGAGTATATTTGAATGAAGTTTTGAATATGAGGATACACTCTCGAAATGTCAACTAATAAATATATTATATGGAAGATTTTATTTTGGTATTCATAAAGAAAAAAATTATTTTATCTTATGTGGATATCAAATGACTCACGTCTATCATTCTTTCACATGTCACATATAAAACCAAAACACTGCCTTAAATTGTTATTTTAGAACAATTAAAAGATAAATAAATAAACTATAGTAAACTATAGTATTATTTTTATTTGTTGATTTGGGATATTAAAAATTGTGAATGAGAGAGTTCATAATCAAATTTTCAAGACTTCTACATAAATATACATGAGAATAATAAAATGGCCCGATTGAAAAGTTATTACCCTAAAATTTCAAATTCGCATGCCCAGTACAATTATAATTTACATATAAAATATCGATCGGATACCTCCAGGACCTACTAATAAAGGGATAAAGAAGATAATAATCGTTACGTAAACGTCCAGGAGTAATAGATAACTCACAAAAATAGGTTTGGCCAACTACCAGCTCCTCATTTCTATTTTTTAACCCAAACCTATGTCCACAAGATCTATTTTGCGAAGGAGGTGGCTTAGATCTCTATCAAATGAATACCACACAAAGTAAACAGAAGCATGTAATAAAGTATAAACAATAGTTAAATAATGTCTATCAGAATAAAATGACAAACACAAGAAGGAGACTGTATCTAATATATAAACTAATTATTTTTTTAAAACATTCATCATTAAAGGATATAAGTTACAATATAAAAAAAAAAAATACCCTATTTTCAGACTATGAAATACTTGCTATATTTGTCAAATCATAATTGGATTGAAGGAAAATATAGAAAACCGACGAAAAAATACATCGTTTGGACACACTGTAATATAAGTTATCTTATCGGTAGGTGAAGTACACAGAATATCAGCGCAATGAACACATCACTTGTCACCAATTTTAATAAAACTTCAACAGTCAATTCTGAGTTTAAAGTGCAATGTATAAATTTAAATACATCCAATAAGAAATACATCCTTCTACTTTATTCCATAAACTGCCTGCAAGAACAATATCAACTCTATTTGGCTTTGATTAGTTTTAAGAGGGGGGCGTTTTGCTTTAATTAAGCAATTTTAATAGTATAATAAAATATTGTGGAGGTACACATCCACTTTATTAATACATACAACTTTATTATACATACTCGACAATGTAAATTTTCATAGCCAGATAAGATAGAGCCATACGAAGTGAAGATTGAAATTTTAAGAACTTGACAAACTAAACTTACCTCTTCAATATAACACTTGGAACAACACTTAGGTTAAGCAATTCTCTTGCACTAATATAATTCCACTAAACCCTAAATACTAAAATTATTAGAGATACTAGAACTAGAGAAAGCCGACAACACTTCCCCACCGCACAGGTGTTCGGCACAGACTGAGCTGTGACTGACCTTGTGGAGAGTGAGTCAGTCAAGCCCCTGCCCATTGAGTTTCGTCATTAATAGCACTCTGAATCAGGAATCCTGGCAACTCATTGGGATTAACTGATATTTTATTGCTAAATTTGAGTTATCTCCTGTTCTCAATTAAAACTGACCAAGGCAAGTTTTACTATTATACTATCGTACAGTCTTGACACGTTTACATAAAATGATAAACAATATTTCAAAAGTGTACTTTCTCCGATATAAAAACATATGGTTATTTAAAGATGAAAATGATGAAAATAACGACTATATTGTTAATTTTGCTATCCACCTTTATAATTATAAATACGATACTTTAAAATTAACTTATATTGGGCAGCAAGATGTCGGATGATCGAATGACCAATGACTATGGCATAGGAAAAAAAAACTTTAAAATTAATAGCTTGGAATATTTAGTTTCATGTCTAAGATATATATATATATATATATATATATATATATATATATATATATATATATATATTTAATGTAATATACTACAGTCAAAAAAAAAAAAAGAAAAAAAAAAAAAGAAGAAGTAACATAATATCCTAGTTGAAAGTAACACAATCCCTATGAATACAGATAAAAATATATGATTAGTTAAAATATATATAAAATTGGATAAATATATAAATGATTACAAATATCCATAATTAGCCCCTAATCACCAAAATGTGGTGATGAAGAATCCCAAGGGAGTCTGGAATAATGCTCTTGGCCAACACTGCAAGATACCCGACATCAACACCTAGTTACTAGAAAAAGCTCCTTGTTCTATTAGGAATCGTTTCGCAAGACCCAAACAGAGGCCTCTTAAGGCGAACTCTATCTCTCCGAAGGTCTCGAGGAATTTCTCTTTTAGGAAAGGGATACATTTATCATATTTTTTCTCTCTTTCTTTATCTACTTCACTTGTCTGATCGAGATTATTGCTCTCAAAGCGAACAGTCAGTTGGATCCAAGAACAGTGCCGTTTTTCCGGTCTCGGAGAATGCAACTATATTCTCATATCTCGTTGAGCCATCACTATCGATACAACAGACCTCCTCCAAAGCATGTGAATTCCCTTTCCCTAAGGAGCCTCATCAACTCGAATTTGACCCTATGGTGCCGCCGTGTAATGAGGAGGGAGTTGTTTGGGCATATCCCAGCACATGGGCTGGTGTTTCAAAATATTTTTTTGAATACTCAAAAAAAATTGTATTGTTTTTTAAATGAATGAGGTATTGTTGCTATAGTTCAATTTCCGCTTTTCCAAATATTTCATTTTACTTAGCCATTTAACAAAGGCCTACAAAAAAATAAAAATAATAATAAAGAATAGTTACCCATCCATCTAAAGTTTTCAACTAATCTAAATCCCTAACCATATTCAATTAAACTTATATTCTAAAGGCCTAGGAAGAAAAAACATAAATATATTCCTTAATTCCGAATATATTCTAACATATTGATAAAATTATTCATATAATAATCCTTCAAAAAGTAACAAACTTTTTTTTTATTTATTCAAGTTGATTTTTCTCCGATATTTTCACTCGAAAGGCTGTACGTTGTTAAATTTATAGGAAAAAAATCAGTTTCAGCTTTAAAAACGACTAATAGTCCGCGATATAACTACTTTTATTTAATTAATAAACGATTAAGGTTGTCAAAATAGATAACATTACTCTCACAATTTTATTTCATGAATAAAAATCTTTTTTACAGGGTGTTTGTTTATCATCTATATTATAAGATTTTGGCTTTACAGTCATTTTCAAATGTTCTAAATCAAGAGGTCTTAAACAATTCATTAAACATTTTTATAGTATACTACCCTACGGTAGTAATTCTTATATAAAATAAATTTAGTTGTATTCTTTTACTCTTTATCATACTCTTTTACTCTTTCTAGTACTCTTTATCATAAATACTTTGGCTTCATTCATTTCGGTAAAAACCTACAATAATCGGTAAAAATACCTGCAAATTATTTGAATTACATATAATGTTTTTTATGAATGAAATAAAATCGTAGGAATAATATAGTCTTATGTAAAACCTTAATTATTAATTGATTAAATGCAATAATTAAACCAAGATTATACTAAATATGATAAACTAAAATAAGGCTGTTTATTATAGTTTGTTTAGTTTTTATTTTATTTTTATTTGCCCTTTTCCCAAAATAAGCACATTAGATATACTGCTTTTAGGAACTCCTCAATTTGGATTCTGAAATTAAAAAAACAATTAATAAAATTAAATAACAAATCCCCATCTTTTTCATAACTACGTGGTGAAAAAAATGACAGTTGTTATTTAACAAAAGGAAAGTCACGCTAAACAAAAAACGAAAGAAAAACTTTTTAATGAGTTAAACTAAAAATAATTCAAGTAATTAATTACTAAAAAAAAGTGTAATATGCTTAAGTTCAAAAGACTTATACTGATGGGGCTCTTTAACTAGAAGTTTAATTACAGGGAGCTATTGAGGTCGAGTTGACAAAAATAAATAGCTTTGAACAGTCAAGTTGCATAAAATATTTATAATCATTAGCTACGGCAAAGAGCAAACATTAAATAAAGAAAGACGAATCGATGAACTCTAAACGATAATAAAACAAAAAGCGTCCTAAAATTCACAATAACAAAACAATAAATAATTTTTATTTAAATTAACAATAAGGATTTTTATTGTATCATACCTTCAATGCTTCGCTACGTTCTCGTGTGACAATCTTTAGCTTTAAACTTGGACTAAAGTTAAACTACTAAATATTATTTCGCAATAAATAAATAACATTTTTATATGTACTCAACGAAGAGAGAGGGGGGAAGTGAAAGATTTATCATTATTACCAAAGAAGGTTATCAGCATTTAAAAGTAGTTCGTTACGTTATATCACGTCTAAAGATTAAAGAATATGACTAATTTAACACACAATCAACCTGTTTCTACACTCGAGATGACCATAACTTTAGAATATTCTTATGTATAACGTAACACATTCCATTCAAAATTTCGTAATCCTCATATATAATACAGATGTTTAAGGAGTATTTTAATATAAGATGTTAATATTATATTTATACTTACTATGTATATATATTGAGAACTATTTTCGACATACGGGTTCAAAAATCGTACTTAATGAGTTTTTATGTTAAGAGTTTGAACTAAAATTGACCGAAGGTCGACATATTAATTGAGTAGCTGTTTCAATATAAAAAATTAGGTTCGTCAATAAAAATGCGTCCGAAATTTAGTTCAATGATCTCCAGCGCGGATTCAACTCAACTCACACCGCTGTCACAGTGGTTCGATAGAGTGTTAATAATATCAATTGAATCAATATTTTATTTATTTATTCAATTTTAAATATACCAAGCTGTACTTACAATTGAGTAAAATAAATTTTAAAAATATATTCTAATTTAAAAAAAAAAAACTCCACTACAAAATCGGAAAATTCTTTCGACCCCAAAGGAATATATTTGCTTATTTACTTAAAAACATTGGTAGACCGTTAGGAAATGGCACAATAATGAATGGCACAAATAAAGAAAACATATATTTTGGAGTTTGGAGTTCATTAGGCATATTATTCATCGAGACATACTCACCACTGTGCTCTATTTATTAGCTCCATCATGACTGAAGGTATACATATATTATGCTTATCAAATAATTTATTGCTGACGATATTGGGGTCAACAAGAACTACTAGACATGGGGTCAGGAACCACCAAGGTAGACAGAGCCTTATAAGGACAGTTTTCTCTACGAGTAAGAGAGAGAGATAGGTATGACCTGGATGCGTTCTGAGTCATAATTTTCATCTTGGCCACTCAAAAGTTCACAGTAGGAAACTCCTATAATTAAAGCAGAAAAAGGAAAACCTCAAGGAATTTCCCACGATCTTGAACAATAAGAAAAGATTTCTTGGGAACGAAATAAAAATATATAACTTATAATTATATTTAAATGGAATAAAATCCTAATCAATATACATGAATAAAATCTTAATCAGAAATAATGTTTTAATTGACCAGGAAATAACAACATTTTCAAAGGATCTATAAATAATTTTCGTCAAAATATGCAAGTATATTCTGATTTCTATTCCCGAGCTTACTACGGAAGAAAAAATGAGGTCATCAGTGAAACATTTTTTCTTTTTTCTTCAACAAGCTTACACTTAATTTACTCATAATAGATTGCCTGAATTTTAAAACATAACAACAGGTTATAATTGGAAAAGTTCTAACTAACACAACCATCTTCCAAATGCAGATAACAAATAACAAAACCGTCAACATTTCGCCAATTCCGGCATCATCAGGACCGAGAAAAGAGCATATCGAAGATCACTTCAAGGGACTGAGACAGATTGAAGTGATCTTCGATTTCTTTTTTTCTGTCCTGATGATTGGCGAAATGTTGAAGGGTTTTTATTTGTTACCTGTATTTTGGAGATATGAGGCTGTGTAATTGCATTTTTTCCATTTATAACCTAACATTGGATTTCTGTCTATCGGTGAGATTTTTTTTTATAAATGGAAAAAACACAGGTGAATAGTTAACTTGTCAACAGAAAACCCACGATAACTTATATACAGATTTAAAAAAAAGTTGCAGTAGACATCTCACGAAGCCAACTAAATACATACTGAAGGAAAAAAAGGTGGAAGGTATATAAAACAAAACTCAGTGGATACACGGCCATTCCACTAGTAATATAACAAAATAAACATTATATTATAAATGGAAAATTCCAAACAACAAAGCCATGAATCTCCAACATACAGTGAATAGTCAACTGGCCAACCCAACATTTCGCCGATTCATGCATTATCAGGACACAAAAACCAAGATCACTTATAAGCATAATATAAGAAAAATTGATTTTGAGCAGCTCTTAATATACATTTTTGTCTCATTAGTTAAAAACCTTCGTTGTGTTTAGTGAAAT